GTAGTAGTAGTAGCCATATCCTAGTGCCAGTAGAAAGGTAACGGCTCGTATTTAGGCTTGAAGAGTAATAAGAAGAAGCAACAACAGCATACTAAGAACAGCGATCTCCTCAAGGTCGTCAGGATGTGCTCTGATCGCGCCTATCTACCGGTACAACAGCTCATTCACGACTCCTAGCCATGCGCCTGTCTCTCCTAGGTGATAGTGTTCGCATTCAGCAAGAAAGAGTGCGAGCAGAACGCCCTAGTCTTGCGAAATATCGATCTCGTTACACAGGATGAGAAAGCCCTTATTGGGGATGTCTTCGAGAATGCTATGGCGACCCTGAGTGAGTTCTCGAGGCTCACTTAAGTCGTTCGTTTTGTAGTTCTTGGAGGGTTCGTATGATGCTAGGTCCTGAGGACAGAGAGCTGCAGCAGATCCAGTCCATGCTGGGCTTCCTCTCGAGAGGTATTGGTATCCATCATGGCGGTCTGTTGCCGATCCTCAAGGAGATTGTTGAGATACTTTTCCAAGAGAACTTGATCAAGGTGAATACGAATGCTGGTCATTTCACTATAGCTGCCACGTAGGTGCTCTTCTGCACGGAGACTTTCGCCATGGGTGTGAACATGCCTGCTAAAACGGTCGTCTTCACTTCGGTAGGAGGAGGGAGAGGCTGCATGGGGACTTACGTCGTTGTTGTAGATTCAAAAATGGGATGGTATTGAACGCAGAACGCTGAATAGTGGAGAGTACATTCAGATGGCTGGCCGAGCTGGTGAGGAAGGGTCTAGGCTGGGGTGACCATTTATGGTGTGTTCAGGTCGACGAGGAAAGGATGATAAGGGTTTGGTCATCATCATGCTTACGGATAAGGTCGAGCCTAATACGGCTAAGGACATGTTTTTGGGTAGGGCGGTGCTGGTCATAGTCGAGGTCTCTGGTTCGAATCCCGGTGGAGGCATTTTTTGGGGGTTATTTTTTTGATGTATGTAGGTGATGCGAGTCGGCTGGACAGTCAGTTCTACCTCGGGTACAATATGCTTCTTAATATGCTCAGGCTTGAAGGTGAGTGGTAGTCCGTGTCGGAATATATGTTCGCTTTCCGCACGTGAGCTCAAGAATTTCCTCACTGATCATAGGAGTTTATATACGAATTGCGATAGAAGTTTTCAGAAACCATTTAAGAATTTCCCAGAATTTTTTTGGAAATTCTCATAATT